ATAAATAATTTATATATAACATTTATTTTTTTAAAGACAAATATAATAAAATTATGTGATTGTAATTACTAGATCAATCTATTTTTAATTTTTTTTAATAACTAATCTACGTAACCCATAAAATAAACGACTGAAGTTTCAAAAATTTAATCATAATCAGCCTATGGGTCCAATTTAACAATTCAATCCACTTCAATGGACTCGTTAGTATTGGGCTTCTTTCCTCATGGGTCATTTTTTTTTTGTTGTTTTTTTTTTTGTGTTTTTGTTATTTGTTACACAAATTCTTCATTTACATATATGGTAGACCTTTTTGTTTAAAAAAAAAATATTTTATTTATTTTCAGCAGAATTTGTAGCAGCAACAACACCCCAATTCTTCTACGGACACAAAATTGATCATAAAATTAATCACAAAAAATAATTTTGGCTACACATATCGGATGGTAAGATATCATAAAAGATACAATTTCATTCAGATTGCACCACTTATATATGTAGTTACGTAATCGATTTTGTAGTCGTAGACTTATTGTATATACACTATCTATCTATCTATCTATCTATCTATACTATGTATAAAATGACCACTCATGTTGGTATCCTGAAATCTTAGCTTCTTTGAGTGACAAGCGTCCTTTTTTTTATTTTTAAATTTAAAACAAAAAAAATTAGATAAATGGAAGGTGTAGGACTTAAACCAAAATTAGATAAATGGCAGAGTATGACTCAAACCTTAGAACCTTGGGTCTAACGAAGAAGACTCTTACTACTTGAATAGTACACAATATATAATAAATATTTTATTTTATTTTTACTTATTTACATTGCATACGTATTGCATGCACTAACCGTTAATATCTATTTTTTTATTTATACTATTATTAAAAGTGAATATCTCATTTGGTGTCTATGAACTTCCTTATCCCCTTTTACCAGGTATACTTCTATTCTTGTGCTAAGTGTCAATTTCTATATCCAAAAGAAAAAAAGAAAAAAAAAGTAGCCTTCTATTCTTGTGTCAAGTGTCAACTTCTCTATCTTAAAAAAAAAAAAAAATAAAATAAAAAATAAAAAATAGTAGTTAAAAAAATGCACAAGACTTGAACCCAAGACCATTCACTTAACTTATTAAAGAACACTCTCGTCACTTAAACAACATAGAAAATATATTGTGAATTCAAAATTAAAATTTATATTTTAGGCACACCCATCGGGTGGAGTTACACCCCTAGTATTGTATAAAGCAAAGACTCAAGTTAGTGTCTTGAAACCTTTTTATGTGTGCTAATGGTTGTTTTAGAAAGTGACTACTCTATCTGTCTCAAAATATTAGTCCTTTATTTCATTTTCTATTATCTCAAAATATTAGTCATTTTTAAAAAATTAAGAAATAAAATAATATGATTTTCCTATTTTGCCCTTATTTTAAATTTATTAACAACACAAAAAGTACAATTGTGATAATTTATATTTTCAAAAAATTATACTATCAAAGGATAATTTTGAAAATTAATATTTTTAAAGTGTAATATTTACTATAAAAAAAAGTTGAATTCCCCAAAATGGACTATTCTTTTGGGTTGAATGAAGTATTTTAATTACCTTTTTAATTTTTTACGAAAAGGCGTATAAAAAATATTTGAAAAAATGACTTTTTAACTATTTTAGTATCTTTCCAGAACAGCCCTAAGGGCATCCTAACATTTTCTATTATCTCAAAATATTAGTCATTTTTAAAAAATTAAGAAATAAAATAATATGATTTTCCTATTTTGCCCTTATTTTAAATTTATTAACAACACAAAAAGTACAATTGTGATAATTTATATTTTCAAAAAATTATACTATCAAAGGATAATTTTGAAAATTAATATTTTTAAAGTGTAATATTTACTATAAAAAAAAGTTGAATTCCCCAAAATGGACTATTCTTTTGGGTTGAATGAAGTATTTTAATTACCTTTTTAATTTTTTACGAAAAGACGTATAAAAAATATTTGAAAAAATGACTTTTTAACTATTTTAGTATCTTTCCAGAACAGCCCTAAGGGCATCCTAAATGGTGTATCAATTTTTTCATCAAATTTGAGTAAAAATTTGAGGAAAAGCTATTTTTGATATCAAGTACTTCAACCAAGGGTTTTGCGGTTTTGTCAAATTTTTCACAATTTTTCTTCTTGAGGCTGTCATCTGGGGGGTCGACTAGGAGGATGGCCGGCTAGTGTAATTTTTTCACGAACTTTTGCCTTGAGGTGGTCATTCGGTGGTGAAAATCTAACAGCAATGAACAGTAATTTGATGAAAGACATATTTGTCCTCAGTTTGATGAAAGAAAAGTGAAATCCTAGATTTGATTCTAATTTGATGAAACCGTTGGAACTAAAAAAGGAACAAATTTTCATCAAATTCAAATTTAATGATGAGTTTGATGTACGGTTAGAGATGGTCTAAGAATACCTCTCATCAATTTTTTTTGAGGACTTCATCATTTTTTTTTAAAACACACTCCTAATTCCATAATTACTAGTAATCATTTTTATACCACCTACTCGTAATGATGTACACATCTTAATGTGAATTTGTTGAAAAAATAGAATACATGTGTGAATATGTTGAAAAATAGTATAAAAGAATAATGCGTACCTAGCCGAACTCATATATCTATACTAATGGTTTGTATATGCGATGTATGCACATTTATAAAAAAAATAATATTATAAAAATAACAATAAAGAAAAATACATACAGTGGCGGAGCCAAGAAAATAAATCAGAGGGGGCACTTTTTAATTACAATATTGAAAATATTTACAAAAATATGTCACATAAATTTTTACGATTGACTTCGAGAAAGATAAAAAAAAAAATAATAATAATTAGTGTGTTTGGTTTGAATTTTTTGAATTAAGTTTTTTATTTTTTATTATATTTTATTTTATTTGTTTTTTGTGAATATTTTTAAATTTTTAAGCATTTTTTTTTAACTTTTTTATATGCATGATGTATCTAAAAAAAATAAAATATTTGTGAAAAAATATTTTAAAAAATTAATAAATACATAAAAATACGAAAAATATACTGATTTTTTATATTTTTTTTTAAATTTTTGGTATTTACTGAATTTTTAAAGATTTTTTTCGCAAAAATGATACTTTTTAAATATATTTATGTTGAGTGTATCTAAAAATTTAAAAAATTGCTTAAAATATTAAAAAAATTCAATAAAAATAAAAAAATACGAAAAATAAAAAGTACGAAAACTTGTTTGGTTTGCCTTTTTTCAGAAATGGTTTTGGAAAATTATTTTAGAGAGCGAGTTTTAAAAAAAGTGATTGATTTGATGTGTATGAGAGAGAGTGTGTGATTTTGGAAAGTAGGTAACCAAACAAAATTTTGAGATTTTTTTTGAAAAAATTTGTTTGGTTTGATTACTCTTGAAAATTTATTTATACAGAATTTTTTCCAAAAATTTTTCTGAAAAACAAACCAAACAAGCCTAGAATTTTTTGAAAAGTGTTTTTAAAAAACTCTAACCAAACAAAGTGAACATGTTATTTGTAATTAGCGTATCATGAACAACATTAAAAAAAGTCATGGATATAAAGTTTTAAAATAAATTATATAATGATAACGTAATTTTTTATACAAAATATGCATAAAAATTCAATATAATAGTCATATCACGCAATTATTGACATGTGATATTACCAACCAATAATAAAGAAACACATGGAGGATGAACCTTATATATTAAATGTAATTAACAATTCAATAAATTTTATATTTTCATTGAGATTAATTATATTTGCATATCAATAATGGTAGAAATCACCATTATATTGAAATTTTTATAGATAATAATATCGTAGTCTCTTTATTTTCAATTAAAACAATCATTATTGTTCTTATAATTTTAAATATATCATTGACATTTCACTCTAAATAATATTTTTATAAATTTTTTTATATAAATATTTTCTTTATGTTTGTTAAAAAAAAAAAAAAAATCCAAAACTCAAGGGGGGCACGTGACCTCCCTGGGCCCACCTTTCCTCTGCCCCTGAATACATATATATTATATATTGCTTAAGTGACAAGAGCCTTTATTATTCAACCCATTGTCATGGGCTCAAGGCTTGTTCTTCTCTTCTCTTTGCATAATTTTTAAAAAAACTCTAAATGTAGGAATTCAAAATATTAGATATATTTGTGTCAACACCATCAGGAATATTTTGAAACAATTCAAAATATGAGATATATTTGTGTCAACACTACTAGTCATCACTTTATATTAAATATATATATTTATATACTAGAAAGTGTCTTCAAACCCATATGGTGGTAGATCAAGAAATTAATAGTTACAAAAGGACCATGTATTTGAATTTAACAGTTATAAAAACTAGTTTATGAATAGAAACAAAGCGACCCAAAGAATTCATATCTAAATTTTTTATTTACTTTATTCTATTTATAGAATAGATACTTGTGAAGTCATGATCAATTGCAAAATTGCACAAAAGCAAAAGCAGCAGAGTCCACTCAGCCAGTTGTGATGAGAGCAGCATATGCATACAACAAAGTGATGGCTACACAAGTCCCCACTGGACAGCGAGGAGTTTTTGGCTTTTATTTGAACTTTATAATCCCACCAAAACATTCTCTTATCAATTTTTGACCTTCCTTTTTTTTTTTTTTTTCACATGCCTAGTTAGTTTGGTAGATAAGAATGAATAAAATGATTGATGAAAAATTTGTATATTTCTTTTTTTCTTACAAGGTGTGATTTAATAACAGTAAGATTTATTGTTAGAAATATCTTAAAATGAGAGAATTTTTTCCTTAAATATTAGGCAGTTTAACTTGCTTAATAGACGAGTCACTCTTAAAAATAGTGAATCTTATTATTCAAATATAATTACATGTTTCAAGATAAATTTGTAACCACATATGTACACATAATATAGTTTATTATGTCTACATAGTAATACATTATTAAATGATAGTACTATATGTTGGTGATTGTATAATATCACCATTATACTGAATTTTTTCCTAACCTTTTCAGTAATGGGATAAGATCAGTAGGCTACTACCGCTACATACCTCCTTCAAATTTCGTTTTAGTGGGAGCTCCATATAAGTCAGCTCTTAATCAAATAGTTACATTGTCATGTGTATGTCTCACTGTCCTTGCTCTAAAAAGTGTTTGCTTCCTCCTCTATATGAGTAGAAGGCAAGTGTGCAATAATTCAACAAAAAGCTAAGTTCTCTCAATCTCATGAGCTTTGTGGGCATTTTCTAGTACTTTAATATGATAAAAAAACCTCTTTCCCAAATGGGTTTTTGCTCATTCCAAATTCCAGTCACTTTGCGGCGACTCGTAGCGGTTTTTACGATGTTCATGGCAATATCAGGACGACTAGCAGATTGCAAATGTGCTTTTGAGGCTATTTTCAACTTTGGCGATTCGAATTCCGACACGGGCGGGTTTTGGGCAGCTTTTCCCGCAGAGTCCGGGCCTTTTGGGATGACCTACTTCAAGAAACCGGCCGGTCGGGCTACTGATGGGAGGCTCATGATTGATTTCTTAGGTAAATTTTTAGATAATTAATTTCTTTACTGACTTAATTTTTTTGCAAACTTGCATTTTCTTTGTTGGAAGATGGAAATTGATGCACAAGTTATCTCATTGCGAAATGTGAAGTGTGAACACACACACACAGATGCCAGGCACACTTTCTTGCATTTTCTTTTCAGCCAAACAGTGAGCATAATGGTTCTCTTAGGATGAGGATCCATTTAGCTGATATGAACATTGGCATTTTTTGTTTGTGTTGTTGAACTGTGTTCACACAAATAGTGCAGTTGTCTTGTTCTTCATTGGATCTTCCATTATCTTTTCAGTGCTCAACTACTTTTCAAAGACACAATCTCAAGAGTGTTTAATGATTTAATTATATACTAAAAATTAATTAATTTTTGTTAAATCATTGAACTAAAAAATTATTAACCATGAGTGGAGAGACTTCTAAAATATTAACTAAGTTTTGGAAAAATTATCACATAGGTTTACCTCATATCCTACCTGATATGTTCATACAATTCTATTGGTTTCATACCCTATTATTTCTTATTATTTCTTATACATTACATAAAATAACCAATAGATAATTGAAAAAATACACAACATAATTGAAAATTTTAAAAGATAAAATAATTCCTCCTAAGTTTTAAGTGACTTAAAAAATAATGTGGTATAATTTTAATAGTAAAAAAATAATAATAAGTTGGGTTGTTCGATGTCATCATCATGTATAGATCCAATTGTGAGATAAGTCAAGGCTAAGTAGATTTGAACGGTCAACGGTAGAGCATATTGAAAACCAGTCAACGGTAGAGCATATTGCTAGGTTCACTGCTTAATGTAGTGAATTTACCAATAATGATTACATAAAGTTAAGACTGTTCCCAAATTCTCTAACTAGGGCAGCTTTTGTATGGTATATTAACCTTACACCTGGCTCTATCCAAACTTGGCAACAAATGGAGGAGGCATTTCATGCCTAATTCTTCCAAACGGAGCCAAAAGTTTCCATGGCAGACTTGGCAAGGTTGAGTCAAAGGCCTGATGAGAAGAAGCGCCAAAAATATATGTTGGCTTTTTTGGCTTTCGAAGGTTATTATTGTAATTCTAAGCGTGCCAGCAAGGATCAATCAGTCTTTACAGAAGATTAATTGCCAATCAAATATAAGATGATTGTGTTTCAGTTCTATCTACCTCAACGAAGATGACTTTTACTGGTGGCTTTGTTTAGAAGAATTAAGCAAACAACGATTTAAATGAAGAACAATTGTTGGCATCACATCAATTTTGATATTAAAAATCCAGCAGGCTCCAAAAATTTTGTCTCAATGTAATTTTAGTCGTATCATTATATTTCAAAATTTTCATGTATAAGGATTCCTAATATCTTATATTGAAATAGAGAAACAAAGATAATTGAAAACAAATGATCTCTTAACCAATCTAGCCCGATAGTCTTATTACTAGCAGTAGAGTCTTTGTCCAAATCTATTATATCCCTTGTCTCCTACCATCTCTAAGATTCGCTTTCTCCTATGCCACTTCTAAGATTCATTTTGTGATTTGATTGAAAGAATGATTTAGACAAATGATCCGATCTTATTAGAATGGCACTTCAACGCACTACAAGAAAACACACATTTGGCGACTAAATGTTTAGTCACCAAAAGTCCTTTTTTAGTCGCCAAAAGTCGAATTTTCACTTTCCCCAACTAAATATTTTAGTCGCCGGTTTTGTCGCGAATAAACGGTCGCGAATACGTACGTTTAATCAAGAATAACATTGGATAAATTAAAACAAATGATACTTGAAAATTAGCCATTATTGGGTACTATCACTTTATAAACAAAAAACCCATCAATGTAATTTACATTTTCAAGATTATTATTACTACATTCTGATATACAATTCTGTATAGATTTTTATTTGTGAATCACTTTTTAGCAATTTTTAATGGTCAATTAACATTGTATTTTTTTCTTGGTAGCTCAAGCTCTAGGGTTGCCATTTTTGAGCCCATATTTGCAATCAATTGGATCAGATTACAGACACGGGGCCAACTTTGCAACATTGGCATCAACAGTTCTCCTGCCAAAAAGTTCCCTATTTGTCTCTGGGCTAAGCCCTTTTGCTCTGGCCATTCAGCTCAACCAAATAAAGCATTTCAAGGTTAAAGTTGATGAACCTCAATCTAATGGTAAAAATCGAGTGCACCGTGGTGCTTCTATATTCAATTGATTATTTTATCTACTGTTATTTGGGTGGAAAATGTTTTTGACATTTTTTAATAGTTAGTATGATGAAAAGTGAAGTCAATAGAAAGTATTTTCAATTGTTATTAAAAAAAAACGAGTTAATTTTGGCTGAAAGCATTTTTTACCACCACCACTTACAATCATTGTCGTTGCCACCGCCTTTGCTTCACCCACACCACCTTACTATCACTACTAGAACCACCAATACTATGATTTTCAAGATTACAACTAAACACAACAAAGTGTTTTTTTGCAGAAGACATTTTTGAAAAATATGTTTGATAAAATGATGCATGACATTATATATTTTTATTTTATATTTTATAATTAATATTTAGTTAGGCATATTTAATTTAGTATATAATAGTATAGATTTATTTAATTTCTTAATTTTGATTTGATGCAAGTTTTGTATTCTATTAGCTATGATTTTTATTTCTTATTTTATTAGTTTCTTATTCTCCAAGAAATAGGTTAACTATAAAGTTGTAAGCCTTAGAGTTATGGGGTTGAAATTGATATTTAATTAATAAAAATTGAGAGTTTTCTTAATATTATTCGTTCGTAGAGAGAATATTTTTAATTCGAATTTGGTCGTGGTTCAATTTTGTTCTTTGCTCTTTTTTTCAATACCCTTCCCTACATCATAAAATATATTTTTTAAAAAAAATGATTTTTATCAAAAAAAAAAAATGTATACTTCTAACGAGAATTTGAACTTTATTTTTTTTAGGTAGATAACTTTGAATGTTGATTGATTTACAGGATCAAACAATCTTCCACAGCCAGACATATTTGAAAAATCAATATTCACGTTCTATATTGGTCAGAATGACTTCACTTCCGACTTAGGATCTCTTGGCATGAGTGGATCAAAGATTATGCTTTCTCAAGTGGTTTCCCAAATTGCCGCCACCATTAAGGTCAGCATTTTCACCGACTTGGGTTTTGTCAATATAGTATAAATTTGCAATAAAAATGCTAAAAACACATTACTGTGTTATGCATTTCACCAGAATGAATGTAATTTTGTGCACCCTTTTTAAAAATTGTTTTTTAGTGAAAATTTTTGCGTTTTTAGCATTAATGTTTGTGACAAAAATTATATGGACTCAATAGACAAGTATACTTAATCTTCCGACTTGGGTTTTGTCAATATAGTATAAATTCACAGTAAAAATGCTAAAAACACATTACTTTGTTATGCATTTCACCAGAATGAATGTAATTTTGTGCACCCTTTTTTTAAATTGGTTTTTAGTGGAAAATTTTGCGTTTTTAGCATTAATGTTTGTGAAAAAAATTATATGGACTCAATAGACAAATATACTTAATCTTGCATTAAAATGGAGTTGTTGATAATATTACATTCGTCCAAGATAAAGTTTACATTCTAGTAAAATGAATGCACTACTGCTAGTGCTACATTTTGTAGACTTTTTAAAAAAATTTATGTGTTTCTTTTTATTGATTTACAATATATCACAAAATTAGGTTGCATAATAAATGGACCAATGACTTGAATATATATATCATGAAATTTGGTACTTAGTGGTGTTTTAGAAAATTGGTAAAAAGTTGATTTTTTTGACAAAAAAACTAAGTTATTTTGGGTCAAAACTGACTTTTTTAACTAAAAACACTAAAATATCAAAAAATTAGTTGTTTTTAGTGTGTTTCTAAAAGACCCCTAATCTTGCACCAAAGTGGAGTACGGGTAGCACTGCATTTGATCTTGATAGGGCTCACACTCAAGGAGAATGAATGCACTGTTGTCAGAACTACACTCATCGCACTTTTATCAAAAAGTTTAGAATAAATTTTACTTTACTTCTTATGATTCTGAACCATATGCAATTTTGAATGCACTGTTGTCAGAACTACACTCACCGCACTTTTATCAAAAAGTTTAGAATAATAAATTTTACTTTACTTATGATTTTGAACCATATGCAATTTATTCTTAATGTTTAGAAATTAACTATATAACTCCTATATGATTTGTAAACTAAAGTCTACCGTTTATTTTTTCATCCAAATTAACTGACTATCGGTTCACACGCTCATGAAGAGAATAAGTTTTATTTAAAACTAAAATACCCTTACACATCTTTAAATTTACAAAAACATGTCATTCTTCCCTAAACCTATATATCTACACATACACACACATAATTTTATTTATTTATTTTTCATTTGTTCTCTAATGGCTACCACTGTATGTATCAATGAAGTTTGTTGGGTCAAAACAGTGGCAAGCAATCAACAAAAACTTTCTAGTGGGTTTGATTTCATTATTCAATTTTTGATTATGGTTGGTGGATTTGATTACCTTGATTGTGGGTGTTTGGTAAAGCTTAAATCCAACTTATTTTATTAGTGAAGGATATTTTGAGGATTTAGCTGTAACCTTAAATGTGTAACCTTGACTCCAACTTGTTTTATTGTATTTCCTTGTTTTCTTGAACATTTCTGAAGTTCCTAAAAAAAAAAGAATATGATTTCGAGAAATTGTCTGAATTGGAATTTTATTATGATAGTAATAGTCATAATCGCCCTTTTTTTTGGCCAGAAATCCACTTTTTTTTTTTTTTTTGGCTTCGTGTG